CTTCTGGGTCATCACAGAGAGGCACAAAATCACTTTCCAGGACCTTCACATTCACTGTTTCTCACTGGTGGAATGATCTGGACAGCCGAATCCCTGACAGTATTCAGGAAACAACTAAAAACTCATCTTTTTTGTGAGCACTTAAAGCTAGAACTTTTTAAGAATATTTTTTCTAGATTTTTAATTAATTTTATTTTTTTACACTGGCTGAAAGTCTTCACATCCTGCTGGCAAAGTGTTATACAAGTTAAAACTATATATATAGATATAATTTAAGTTTATACTTTAAGTTTAAACACTGTCAGTGTTTTAAATAAGAATGAGGAATTTGATGGAATGTTTGGGTTTCAAACGATACAACAAACTTGCAGAGATTCTTCTCGACAGGTAAGTTAAATTAAAAGTTAAAAGTAAACTGCATACACTCACACCCCAAACTTATCTTACCTAGTTACTTATTAGAAACATACATTTTTCAAAAATAAACATAACTGCTTCAAAATTCATTTTCATTTTTGGTATGGGTGTGTATAATTTACGTTTTAGAGCAAAACATAAAAAAAAAGTCAAGTTATGTTTACCATAGGCTTTATTTTACTCATGAATTGAAAAACCCCACTGGAAAATCTCGATGCAACCAGTGAGGAATTAGTCTTCCAGATTCTGACGTCATACCTGCACCACTCTATGCTGGACCTTTTACTGAAACTAGTCGACTTTAACCTGTTGAGACATGCCTCAATTTCATAGACCCACAAAGGCTGTGTTTGCGATGTCTGAGTTGGGGGAGGTGTAATGCACAAAAGGGGTGTTTGCAAAGGTTGCTTTATTTTTTAGTTCCTCTAGGTAACACTAGCACAGAAACTGCCTAACCTAGCGTTAACTGCATCTGCTGTTGAATTTTAATTGGTGCTTTCATTTGATAAAAAAAATAAATAATAATAATCACACATTTATCTGTAATTATTAGTGATTAATCACATATTAATATACTATATTTACATTGTCATAATTTCACACTAAATCTTCATATTAATGTAGAAACAACATCAAGGCGGCATATTTTAAATGTGTTTAATGGCATCTTTTTACTAAGTAGCCTTTTATTAATGAAGACCAGTATCACTGACACCAAAACTAAAATAATTGTACTTTACTACCAATACTTAAATGCATTTTCCCCTCAATTTTAGCCAATAATTACAGCCATTCATGCTATATAAAGCAGCTTTCTGTGCGCATGCATACTGTAAAAAAAAAAAAAAAAAAACTAAAAAAAAAAATGTTTTCTACTCAAAATAAGGCAACCTATCACAAGCACTTTGAGAAAACTCAACAAAGTCCACCCAACTTAAAATATTATGTTAACATCACAAGTTGACACAACATAAACATTCATGATTAACAGTAATGAATAACAGAACAGCACAATTTTTTATTATAATTTTTTTTTTTAACAACACGAGTAAGCCTATTATCTAGGCCTAGACTGATTATTATATATATACTTAGTCTACTTAAAAGACAGACCATAACACAGGTCATATAATTGTAAACCGTTTGTGTCAAATGCACAACAATGACATTTTAACTTTTTGACCATATGCATTTTACACTGAACACAATGAATTGTACATTCTAATGCATATTAAAGAAATCCACAAAAGTGTTAATTATATTGAATTATATTATATTATTGTAGATGCACATTTGCACAAAGGATTGTCTTGTACATTTTAGCATCAACCTGAAACCAAGGTACTACAGACACACTCT